CACGCTGCCACGAAGGCTTCCCTATGTGTGGATACCCACCTAGTGGCTATAGGCCTGAATTTTTCAGGAAGGGGGAGAGGATTTTTCTGGATTTTTAAATTTTGACTTTAATGTTTTTTAGCTGTGGGACTGTTTGTCTTTTTATGTTCTTCAGGTCCTTTAAGTTTGCAGTTTCATGTTTTCTCTAATTCTGAGAAATCTAGTCACGATTCTTGTAAATATGTCTTTACTCACATTAGTTTTTCTTTTATGTAAGTATATGCGAATGTCAGTTCCCTCATTTCTCTTCTCGGTCTCTCTTGGTTTTCCTTTTAAGTGTTTTTATCTCTTTCTGATATTTTTTGGCGAAGTACTGTTATTTCAGCTTTTTAATTTGCTACACAGTATCTTTTCTGCTCTTCAATCTATTAAGTTTATTTCAGTGTTTGTTTTTCATATTCAGTATCTTAATTTGCTTCATTGTGACATTTTCTTTCTGCTTTATTTCTAACATCTGCCCTTACTGAATTTGTTTATTTTAAACTTTCATTTTCTTTTTCTCTCCTTGAACTCCTCTGGCCTGGGGTCACCAGCCACCTTCACTGGTGAGGTAGGTGGGACGAGTGGGGAGTGCTGTGGTCAGCTTGGCTTAGTGGTGCCTTTCCTGCTGGGTTTCCAGAACTGAACGGGGAGGCGGGGCGGGGGTGGGAGAAGCCTTTCCCAGGGTCAGGTGCTTTTCTGTTATGTTGTGAAACCCCTTTCCACCACTGCGCTTCGCAGGATGCTTCCCTGCTGGAAGAGGGCACATGTGACCGTGCAGAGACCACGCAGTGCTGCCCACGCATGTGGCGAACCTGTCCACCCCGGGCCACCCGGAAGCCCTTTAGCAGTTCCAGGCTTGCTGACAGTCTCCCTGCCTTGCTGTTGCAGTTGCCTGTTCAAGACAATGTTGGGGAGAAAAATGTTCACCAAGATAACTGCACCACACCCTGACTTTTACCTCTGGTTTCTGGCCTTTACCAACTCTGTTTTTCACCCCATACTGGAGCCAATTTTCCCTATGTCCCAGAGATTTTTTAAAAATAATTATTTTCTTTAACTTTATTAATTTTAATTTGACAAGAGGAGGACTGAGAGAGAGAGAGAGAGAGTGAGTGAGAAAGCAAGCTGCCAGGACTGGGACTCGAACCATAGTCAGCCATGTGGGAGTCCAGCATCCTTAACCACCATGGCATTTGCTGTCCCCTGTTCCAGGGATTTTTATCTGTGTGTAGACACAGGTGGATTTTTTTTTAAAGTGTAGATCATACTGTGCATACTGTGTAGCAGCTTACCTTATTTATTTATTTATTTATTTACTTATTTTTTGATTGCCAGGGGACAGCTGTGCTCACCAAAGGGAAGTGGAGAAACAAAGAGAGGGAGGGAGGCAGGAAAGGGGAGAGAGTGAGAGAGACAGAGAACCCCCCAATGGGGTGTGGTCCCACTACAGTCTCTTGCTCCGGCTCCCTTAACCACGAGGCCAAAGGGCCAGCTTGTTACTGGTTTTCAAAAACGTTGACTGACATAACTGGTTACATATGGAGATCATTTTAATTCAATAAAATATAGTTTTAATATATGTCTCTGTGTGGGCGGAAGATTTTTTATACCCTCTATGCTGAAATACCCTCATATTTTTGTCACACCTTCTTAAGTATACGGTCATTATAAGCGAGTGATAGGGTAGAGTACAGTGGCTAGCACTCAGTGAAGTACTTAACCATTTCCCTCTGTAGGCCCTTATTATTTTCAGGGTTTTGGGGTTTTTTTTAGTTTTTTGCCATCAAATGTGTGTGCTCATCAGAGACACAGAGAGGGAAAGTGAGAAATCACCCTGAAAGGAGATGGCCACTCCTCAGTCCCTTCTCCTCCAGTCCCCTCTCAGGATTTTGGGCACGCATGTCCACATGCCCGCATGATTTCCAAGCTACTGGGTCGGGACACAAACCGTGGTTGGCCATGTGGGCGTCCAGCACCTTATCCACCATACCAGCTGCTGGCCCCTTATTTTCCACTTTTAAGTGTTACGATACTAGAGACTGGACAGTGGCACAGCAATAGGGTGTTGACTCTCTGCAAGGCTGATCCACATGGAAGGTTCCAGCTTCATGACCAGAGACCTCCCTAAGGTGTCAGGACCCTGTTTGGGGTGTTACATCTTTGTCTGTCTCTTTTTTTCTCCTTCTTTGTTTCTCTTGCTTATAAAAGAAAGAAATAAACTTTAAAAAATGCGGTAAGGGTTGGCTCTCTGCCCTGGTGGTTAAGAAAGGCAGATCTCAATATTTGGCTGTGATTCAAATCACAGCTCTGGTAGCTTGGAAAACACACCAGATGCATATATGTGCATGCCCCAAATCCTGACAGAATGGGAAGAGATTTGGGCGCTACTACACCCCATTGGGCAGGACGGTTGCTTTCTCCCTCCTCTCTCTCTTTATTTTTGTCTCTCTGTCTCTTTGGTAAGCACATAAACCCTCTGACAAAATATGTATACAAAAAAGTTACGGTACTGAAATAAATATGGTTAAGGTGTTCTTCATTTGTGGCATCATTTTCCAGGATTTACAAAATGGATCAATGGGCAAGTCAGTGGAAGGGAATACAACTTTTAGATTGTTAATCATGTAGAAAAATGCCTAGAATATGTAGGGATTCAAATAATTTTTATTGGAATGAAAAAGATATTGTAAAAATTGCTTTCAAGTATGGTTATATCAGTTTTTATTCCTACCAATGATATGAGATTATGTGTTTCCCCACACCATTGTTTTGATGATGTGAGTGTAATCAGAGCATTCTGCCTATCGGGAAAGTGCACTATCAGTGAGGAAGGTCTGTTTCACTTTTAATCCTTACCTGCTGGGCAAGTGAACATGTATTTTCTTCCAGAACTGAATTTGCTCTTAAGGAAATCATGTCCTCTGGAGGTGCTGAAGATGACATCCCACAGGGAGAGAGGAAAACAGTTACAGATTTCTGTTACCTTCTGGATAAATCTAAGCAGCTATTCAATGGGTTAAGGTTAGTGGACTGTTCATACTTTGAACTTTTTTCTACTACTGCATGTTATTTTTCTGACTGATTGTGGTAAGTTTCTGAAAGTTATAGATAGAATATATATTAATTCCTTTATTGGAAGTGGTTGTGATTTTTTTCCTTGACAGGAGGATAACTTAAATTGTTTTATTCAAGTTGAGAAGAGCAGTTTTGTTAGGTGTTGTTGTATATTGGTTTATTTTATTAAATTTTATTAAGAATTATTTTATTTAACTTTATTTATTTATTTTAATTTGACCACGGGGCACAGAGCAAAGGAGAAAGTGAGAGGGACGGGGGGAAAGTGAGAAGACAAGCTGCTATGTCCAGGACTTGAACCACGGTTGGCCATGTGGGAGTCCAGCACCCTTAACCACCACACCACCTGCCAACCCTGGTACCTGATTGATTGATACATTACATTTTTTAAAAAGAATTACTTTATTTAAGTTTATTTATTCATATATTTTAATTTGACCAGAGTGGGACAGAGTGAGAGAGAAAAAAAGCCACCGGGTCCGGGACTTGAACCATAGTCGATCATGTGGGAGTCTGGGACGCTTAACCATCACGCCACCTGCCAGGCCCTGATACGTCACTTTTTTTTTTTTTTAAAGAATTACTTATTTGATTTGATTTATTATTATTATTATCATTATTATTTTGTGCAGGGCATGCATGCTCACCAGAGACAGAGAGAGAGAGAGAAAGAGAGAGAGAGAATAACCTGCCAGGTCCAGGACTCAAACTGCTGTCAGCCATGTGGGAGTCCAGCACCTCAACCACCATGCCACCTGCTGGCCCCAGTACATGACATTTTACACAGTAGGGTGCTGAGATCCAGGGAGCCTATGCATGTGCAGTTGAACGTAAACATGTTTGTGCAATTGCTTACTTGTTTTATTCTGTCTATCCTTAGAATAAAATATCTGACTAGATATTGATGGAGGTCGGTTCCAGACAGGGCTAGTTTTACTTAAGTCATGTGCGCCTTGAGCATACTGGCCCTGTAGCATGTGTGACTTTGTCAGAAATGTGTCTTTGATTGTGTGTTCTGGGTAAATGACTTTGTACCATTTTGTTTTACTTAAATGATTAACTTGTATATAAGTTCTTGAGATTCTTAGGATATTCACTTACTTAAGACCTGAAGACCAACAGGTGGCGTAATGGTTATGTTGCTGGACTCCCATGTCATTAGCAGTGGTTTGAGTCCCGGACCCAGTGGCTTAAAACTTACTCTGGGTGCTGTGTGCCCAAGATCCCAAAAGGAGAATTGAGAAGGGATTGCGGCATGGCCATCTCCCCTGGAGGCTGATTTCCACTTTCTGTTTCTCTCTGTCTCTGGTGAATGCACGTACTCTGTAGCAAAAAAGAAAAAAAAAAAAAAAAAGACCCAAACCTTCATTAGCTTAGTTCCATTCACAAGCAAATAAATGCTTAGCAGCAAAATATTAAAAGTACATAGGTTCTATTTCTGAAAGTTTATAAAGGAGTGAGTGAGTATAGTGATTTGTTTAATTTACAGATTATTTCTGGGTAAAAACACAATCTTTTTTCCTTAAGTTTTTTTTCTCTTCTTTTTAATTGCCAGAGTATACATGCACTCTGCAGAGAAAAAGAGAGCACATGACAGCAGGGTATAGTCATATTTCAATCTTTGCCTGCATTTTCATCCCATCAGAATTTTAGATACACACGTATATGCACCTGGTATATTTTTCAAGCCTCCAAGGCCAGGACTCGAAATACAGTCAGCCATGTGGAATCTGATGCCCCCTGCATGGAGATTAACTGCTGCACTACAGGACCGGCCCTCTCACATTTTATCATTGTACTGTGCATCCTCAGGATGGGAAATGTATCCAGAATCTGTTTTAAAGCAGTGGATTTTTCTTAAACAAAGAACATTTGTAGGACCGTCCCCTGGCCTATTAAGAAAGCCTGATTCCTTTGGCTGGGATCAGCATCTTCCAGTAATTCACCAAAATGACAAACACAAAGGGAATTTATGTTGTCTATGCCTTTTAGAAAACAATGAGCGGTTCCTTTGGCAACATATATACACATCTACAAGAAAGGTGATATTGTAGACATCCAGGGAATGGGTACTGTTTAAAAAGGAATGCCTCAGGGACCAGCAGTTGACGTAATCACTATGTTGCTGGACTCCCATGTAGTCGACTGTGGTTCAAGTCCCAGACCTGGTGACTTAAACTCATAGCAGGCACATGTGCGTGCGTGCCCAAGATCCCGAGAGGAGAATGAAGGAGAAGGGATTGCGGTGTGGCCATCCCCACTGGGGTATGATTTCTCGCTTTCTATCTCTCTTTCTCTGTCTTTCTGGTGAGCGCACACACCCTCTAGCAAAAACCTCTCAAAAAAAAAAAAGGAATGTCCCACAAATGTTGCCATGGCAACACGGGAACAGTCTACAATGTTACCCAGCATGCTGTTGTCATTGTTGTAAATGAACAAGTTAAGGGCAAGATTCTTGCCAAGGGAATTAATGTGCGTATTGAGCATATTAAGCATTCTAAGAGCAGAGATGGCTTCCTAGAAAGTGTGAAGGAAAATGACCTGAAAAAGAAGGAAGCCAAGGAGAAAGGGACCTGGGTTCAACTGAAGCACCAGCCTGCTCCACCCAGAGAAGCCACTGTGTGAGAACCAATGGAAAGGAGCCTGAGCTACTGGAACCTATTCCCTATGAATTCATGGCATGATGGGTGTTAAAAATAAACTAATCTATGGTCTATTAAGAAAAAAAATAAAAAAGAAAGCCAGATCCCACAGGGCTCATCATGGACAGAATCCTTGCCCTGGGAGTTTGAGAGGCATGCCAGGTGTGTGTCATCCCTGCCCCAAACCCTGACAGGATGGAGAAATGTAGAAGGGATTGGGACGACCACGCCCCATTGGCAGCTGCTTTCTTCCCGCTCTCTCTTTCTCTCCAGTGAGTGCATTTACCCTTTGGAAATAAGAAGATGAAGTAACTCTATTATAAAGTTTTAGTTCTATTTTTTTTGGAAGGGAGTATGCTTGCCAGACAGACACACAGAAAAGGAGAAAGCCCCGCTCAATGGGGAATGGTCATGCTGTAAACCATTCTTCTCTGTCACTTCCTCTTTTTGGTAATTTGGGCATGCACATAGATGTGCCCAACGTATTTTTAAAAATTTTTTTATTATCATCATCTTGTTTATATTACATTGAATCACATATAAAAATATGGAAAACTTCAGGAATTTGCGTGTCATCCTTGCGTAGGGGCCATGCTAATTTTCTCTGCATCGTTCCAATTTTAGTATATGTGCTGCTCAAGCGAGCACCCCAATGTATTTTTCAAGTCACTGATCTGGGTCACAAAACATGCAGTTGGCCACATGGGATCCTTCTCCTTACTATCATAGTCTGGCCCTGTCATTGTTCTTTATGTTCTAGATATAAATCATGTGAAAAATGAAGGATTTACAAATAATGTGCTCTCTTATCGTATGGGTTGTCTTTTCACTTTCTTGAACTCCAGCTTATCATGCCTCTCTTTCATTGCTTGTACTTTCAGTATTGGATCTAAGAAATCATTGCCTAACCCAGTGTCTTTTACTCCTGTTTTTTCAAATGTCTGTGATTTTTATACTTTTTGCTCTCACGTTTAGGCTTTTGGCCCATTTTGAATTAACTTTTATGTATAATATAAGATCTTAGGTATTTGTTGTTTAAGGTGGAAAGGAGAGAGAAAGGGAAAGCAAGAAAGCATGCTGCCAGCTCTGGGACTCAAACTGCTGTTGGCCATGTGGAAATCCAGCGCCTTTAGCCACCATGCCACCTGCCGACCCCTTTTGCTGTTTTTTAAGACAGTGTCTCTCTGTGTTGGAATCCTTCTGCCTTATTCTCCAGCTGGCCCTTCTAGGCTGTGTGCCACCATGCCTAGTTCTTTTATTTTGTTTCAGACAAGGTCTTCCTATGTTACTGGACCAGCCTTGAGCACATAATCCTCCCACTTCAACCTCCCGAGTTATTAGGATTCCAGGCACATGCCAGTATACCCGCCCTTTGGATTGGACCAGAAATAGAACCTGGGTCTCCCATGTGGTCCAGGTCTGTGGAACACAGAGTTTTTTTTTTGGAGAGGTTTTTGCTATAGGGCGCGTGTGCTTGCCAGACAGACAGAGACAGAGAGACAGAAAGTGAGAAATCACCCCCCAGGGGGGATAGCCACGCCGCAATCCCTTCTCCTCCATTCTCCTCTTCGGATCTTGGGTACACATGCACCCGTACCCGGCGTGAGTTTAAGCTGCCGGGTCCGGGACTCGAACCACGGTCGACTACATGGGAGTCCTGCGACTTAGCCATTATGCTAACTGCTGGTCCCTGGAGCACAGAGTTTTGTCAGCTATGCCACCCAGCGAGTCTTGAGTGTTTTCTTTATTTGTTTGTTTTGCTATATTACTCTTAAACAAACAAACAAACAAACAAACAGGTATTGTGCATTTGACCCAAAGTGTACTAGCTTCTACATAAACTCAGATGAGACATACTTGATATTATTGTAAATGGAAATGTTTTCCTGAGTACTCTGAGAAACTTACAGAATTTAACATTGGCATTTCTCTCCTTAAAAATAAATTACATGACTAGTCTGATTCCAAATCATAAATGAATCATAAATCTCAAGTAGCTTCCTGCTAGTGACTCCATAGTCAAGTAAAATCACTCTTTACAAGAGTCACCGTAAACGGACACTTTTCCACATAGCGTCCCACAGTTTGTATTACCTCTTCCAGGTACATGTTTAGCCTTTGACCAGATGATGGGGGTTGAATATATATAATACTCCAGATACCTATTTGCTAAAAAATTGTTTTATTTCATCTTATTTTAATTTTAATTTTATTTATTATTATTTATTTTTTTTTTTGAGAGGTTTTTGCTATAGGGTATGTGTGCTCGCCAGAAAGAGACAGAGACAGAAAGTGAGAAATCAC